ACAAGCACCTAAATCTACTTCAAATCTCATTTGTTTACCTTGTACTTGCAAATCTACTTTAATAGGTTCAATTTTGTTGATCATACCCTGATTTACATTAACAGTCAGTTCACTGTCAGATTGAAAAATATTAGAAATGTCATATACCTTGTCATTTACAACTTTATTGTTATTTTTAGATTCATCTACTTTCACATAATATTGTTTATGTTGGTATCGGTTACCCTGAGTATTTTTGGTGTAACTAACCTTGGCATTTGAACAACTATTTTTAGAGGTAGAATGATTGGACTTACCCCTTTTTTTTATTTACATGCCTTCTCCAAATTACCTTTTTTTCTACAAAAATTGCACAGGTATTCGCGAAAATAGCACTGGTGTGTTAAATGGCCCTTTTTACCACAACAATAGCACTCTGTAGATTGCACAACACAAGGAACTGCACATGATGCACTTGATTGTTTGCTGCGTTGAGGTCGTTGCGCTGAGGAGAATCACTGAAGCCTCATCGCTGTCGCCGTGCTACCGCTGCCGTGGTACGTCAGGGATGCTGCGTCCTTCTCTGCTGTCTCAAGTGATGTCGCCACCTGCTCCGCCTTGGTAAACGTCAGGCTGTCCTCCACCAGTAGTCTCTTCTTTATCGAATTATTCCGAATACCGCTCACTAATCGGTCCCTGAGATAGTCCGGTAACTTGTCCGGAACTTGTTCGAGAACTGGCAATGCTTTGATAATTGCTTTAAATGAACGATGTATTCCGAAATAGTCTCGTGTTCCAGTTGGTCGCGCTTGCTTAATTTATACCTCTCCGTGATAAACGAGGGTTTAGGATGAAGATGATCCTGTAACACTTTCACAATGTCCTTAAACGACTTCTCCGATGGTTTGTCAGGCGTAATTAAGTCCTTCAGCTGATTGTATGATTTAACTCCGATCACTGTTAGAAACGCACTTACTTTCTTGTCGTCCGAAATTCCATTACACTTTATGTAAAGTTCAAAACGTTCCACGTATGTAGTCCACGTCTCCTCCGAACTGTTGAACGGCCCGAAATTTCCGATGACACTCATTGTAGTAACTTCTTCTTTTGTCAACATTAATTTACCGAACGCGGTGTAAAAATTGCCGTCTAGTGGCATGTAACATACCGAAACAATGGCACTGCACTGTAAAACGCGCTTCCTTTATCCACACGGTAGGTTGTCCCACTCATCGCCATTGTCGCATCCGAACCTAGATGCGAACGAAGGATCAGGTGCTCGAAATAATAAACACATTTACGTTAAGAAAAACCGCATTGGCGTGCGGGAGTCGGTGAGGTAAGACGATGACTGAAGGAACAGAGAGTGTCGGGTGATCGTGGTAGCAGTGGGAACGGAAGGTGGTGTGATAGAAACAACCAATGGGGTTGGTTTATTCGATCAGGCCATATGACGTCACATCGTACGATATCTAACGGTACATGGATCGAGCTAGCAAATTTACCTACCTTCATCTGTATCATTTGAACACATTTCTGAAACTCGATCTCAAGATGCTGAACTTAAAAAACTGAAATCCTTAACAACAACTTCATTGATATTCAAAAATATTTTACTTCAATGGCTCAGAGCTGTGTTGTGACACTAGTACTGGAAGACTACAACCATTTATTCCTCAGCAGTTCAGAAAGCACTTATTTGACTCCCTTCACAACCTAGCACATCCTGGAATCAAAGGGTCTCTGGACCTTATTAAACAACGTTTTGTTTGGCCTTCCATGAATAAAGATGTCAGACTTTGAGCCAAAGCATGTGTAGCTTGCCAGAAATCAAAGGTTTGGAAACGTACTACTACTGAGATTGGAGCTTACAACGACATTAATGGATGTTTTTCTGACATTAATGTCGACATAGTTGGACCTTGCCACCTTCTCCAGGATTTACATAATTACTAACCATAAACCGCTTTACTCGATGGGTCGAGGCAACACCTATCAAGGATATTACTGCTGGAACAGTTGCCGAAGCACTTCTTTCTACCTGAATTACTAGATTTGGAGTTCCTTAAAACATTACTACAGATAGAGGAAGACAATTCGACTGCAATTTATTCCAGGAATTAACAAAACATCTTGGTATCCATCACATTAAAACTACAGCGTATCACCTGAAGCTAATGGAAAGTTTCGAAGACATCTGAAATCTGCAATAACGGCTCACATTAGACGAAAAAATGAACTGGGATATACACATTAACAACCTCCATAACACAATCAGATCATCAGTGAGAACTTTTTACTATTTACGAAATTTTTGCAATACTTCACTTTTGAGAACTCTATATTTTGCCTTGATTAACTCTAAATTACAGTACGGCATAATCTGTCGGGGAAGTGCTTTCAAATATTTAATAGATCGGTTGAGAGTCACTCAAAACTTTTTTATACGCATAATACTGAAGAAAAATGTTAGGGAGAGTTCATCTCCACTCTACAAGGAATTAAAATTATTACCTATACAACATTTATTTATTTAAAAACTATTAAGGGTTTTTTACGTAAGAAGTGGCAATAAAAGCATCGAATACAGACATTATGGGACGAGAAGTACTACACAAGGGATTTTTAAATTACCAAAAGTAAATAAAATATTATTTAGAAGGTCATTGTTGTATCTAGGTCCGAAACTTTTCAACCAATTACCTACAGACATAAAGCAGTTAAATTCAAAGAAAACCTTTTTTCAACACGCTTTTAAATGGTTATTAGAGAAAGACGATGTAATTCAGATGAGCTCTGTACTCATTTAGGTGTAAGTGTGAATGAGAAGTATGACTGTGAAATAAATGAGTAGTGTGAGTGAATTAGCTATGCATCCGAATCCAGATGTACCACGGGGACAGTGCAGTGACGGCCCTGGGATACCCCGGGGCTACCAGCCGCCCGTTGGTCACGGAGAGGGTTTGTAGCATAGCCGATTATAACATGACCCTTGGTTAGATAGCAGTAAATAAGGTAATGGTAATAAAGAGTGGGTGAGTGAGTGCGAGTGAACGAGCGAGCGTGTGTTTGTGCGCCTACAATGTAGTAGATAGTGTTATCGGTTGGCCTCATCCTTGTTGTACACTTCATTATTTAGATTGGGAATGAGGTTAAGAATAAAAACAAAATTTTGGAAATAGCTTGATGCATGATGTTGTCCATGAAAATACCTCATCTAAATTTAATTTTAATAAAATTTAAATTAAGTATTGTTTTCTTTGATTTTTTAGTTCAAGTATTTAGCTTTATTAAGAAAAGGATTGTCAAACATCACAGAGAGCAGGTGTCATTTTTTATGTTGAGCTAGGCTGATTTAATGTTTATTTTTAGATTATTATAATTTTTTCTACTGACCACACAACTTGTTAAAGTGGTCAGTTATATTTCCAATATTATAAGTGTTCATACCTTGTAAATTTTGATGGAAATAAAATCATTTATTCATTTACTTACATCTACCTGGACACATACGTTACCAATGGTTCTACTGGGACTAAGATCTTATATTATTCCAGGACACAATGTTACTGCTGCAGAAATGACACTAGGTCAGGTCATCAGACTACCTTGTGATTTTTTTCAAACCACAGAAGATACCTCAACAAATATTCCTGATTTAGTGTACAATCTGAAAAGAAAAATGAATAATCTTAAACCAATAGAAGCCAAATACCACTCTTCTTAGAAGGTCTTTGTTCAACCAGAATTAAGAACATCCAACCATGTTTTTGTTCGTCATGATTCATCCCGAAGACCGTTGCAAGCTGTCTATGATGGCCCTTACCAAGTGGTTTCGCGGTCTGACAAACAACATAAATACTACTGTTACTGGTTTACTGTTCTTACTCCACGAGGACCTACGACGATTTCTATTGACCTACTCAAACAGGTATTCCTCTTTCAAGATTATATAAACGATACGACCATTAACGCAAGAAAAAATTATATACAATCTAGCGCGGCGTAAACTCAAGTAGACAAGACCAAGGACAGAAATGAAGATGTTGACCTTCAAAAAACACTGATTTTTACAAGATCAGGTTGTAGTGTTCATCCCCCGCATCGTTATGTTCCTCGTTGACACTGGGAGTATGTGTACCGTCTGAACTGTACTTTGAATGTAAAAATTATCATGGAATCAGCTGACTGTTTCACTGTTTGTAAATGTTATATTTGATTTTATTGTAGAGTCGGGACCACGTAAGTTTGCAGTTGGTGGCAGCCAATCACAAGGCAAGGCTAGTGCAACGTTGCCACATCGCACTAATAAAATTATACTAAGCAATGTTTTCAGATCAGCTGGTATTATTAGATGTGGCAACACCGCACGGTTCTCATTGGTTCATTCAAAACCATATGGTAAATAGGCTCCTCCCTCAACTGCAAACTTATGTGATCCCGACAATAGTTTTTTCTTAATAAAAAAAAATTTCAATGACTTATAATCTATTCTTTTAATTACCTTATTTTGTGTTAGTATATTTATATAAGGCACAAGCCTTAGTAGTTTTATATATTACCTGGAAATGACCACCTTGTACATGTCCGTTAATGGGCCTGGGCCCAAGGGTGCAAGAGGTTTTAGGTTTGCTGGTCGCAGAAGGAAGAAGGAAATTCCCCTAAAATAGAGGTGGAGAGGGGCGCAATTATCTCTCTGACCCACATGCAAACCGCAGGCCTCACCTTGTATGAGCAATCACATTTACAAATCCATGTAATTAATGGTAGGTTTTGGAAATGTTTTCAATTGACAGTGATAATACACAGTAGCCCTACATATTCCAAATGGTAAGAGAACGTACAATTTTTACCTTAAACCATGAACTATTTAGTTCTCTTGTTTCTTGTACAACCTATATCCAAAAGTTGCCTCTTTGTGCATGGCATTTAAAAATAAATCAAATAATAAAAGGTCAAAGGTTCAATATCATTACCACTAAAAAAGACTAATCCTCATACATGTAATATGGTATGTTTAGGAGTGGGTGGAGCGTTCCTTGTGACCAACAGTAAGGTTAAGCAACATGTGATGCCGGACTTCTCCGAGACACCGCTCAATAGTGACGAGGATGTCAATCAATGGCTGAGGTTCTATGACATGAATCCACCCCTCGTTGCAGTCGGAACTTTTGTCACCAATGATCCGGTATAAAATATAGCAAGTGCTAGTAACATCTAGGTTCAGGGAATGGTGAAGTCAATACATACAATGTTTGTATAGCCTAATCCTTGTGTCACCCCTCTCTTACTTGACCCTGGAACAACTGCCACTGCCCAGTAAAAAGTAGAAGTTGGGTTTTCTCTCCTTAATTTTAAGACTGGTAGGTTTAATCGATCTTCCTAGAAATTTAGAGACTTCTGTTCCCATTATTATCACACACAAAAAAATAGAATCGTGATCAAAATGTTGATTTTGTAGTTGTTTTCAAGTAGGCTAAAATGTAACTTTCAGTATGTTATTTTCTAATAATAGCTAGGCCTATTTACATTACAAGTGTAGTAAGAGTGTTTTTACATCACGCAGGCGAATGTTGTGCAAACGATCGGAAGCGAGTTGCATATTTAGGCTACCTTAGTGATGTAAACACGCTCTTACGTAACGTGTAACGTACAAGATTTTACCTGACCCGACAATATACAGGGGGTTACGTACAATATTTTTTACTATCGATTTCACTCATCTTCTAACAGAAACATTCTTTTACAATCAAAAGCTAGGTTAGGAAAATCCTTTAAAGCATAACAATAACGTTCAAGCGCACAGCTGATTTCTAGCGTTGTATTTTATTAAGTTAAGCAGTCAATGTTATTTGAATGGGTTTATTACTTCACCAAGTGATTTTTTGAAACTTTACTTAACCTGGGTAAAATACCTATTCTTATTTCAAGAGTAAAATTTGCATTACTGTACTGTATACATAGTAATTAATAATACCCCTGCCGCAGCAAACCTGCCGACTAAGCGAATTTCCTTTTGCCTGAATTGATTTTCAATTAAATGTATTTAATTAACATTAGGTTTTATGAGTACCTAGGCATGCTGCTCCAGGGAGGGTAAAAAGTGTGTTTTTTATTAAAATATTAATAACTTAGTATAAAATAAATAAATTTAACAAGTTTGATCAAAATATATCCATAAACAAGCAAACTACAACATTTTACAATATTCTCCATAAGAATAACATGGGAATTTTAAAATTGCAATTTTTTGAATTTTCTCATAACCAATAATTGTACAAAAACACTTTGATATACTAAATTATTATTTTTTTTAAGCTCTTTAAAAAGGTCCGGAGAGAAATTGAAAAATTTTGTGTTTAGAGGGTCAAAAGTGAGAAAAACAAATTTTTACCCCATAAAACCCCTGTAAAACCCCGTTCCCATGGTCCGATCATGCTGGTTCGCGAACTCATTCAAGTTTATCCTGCCTTACACCTTCAAACCAAATTTCATCAAAATCAGACAAAAATTACTCAAGTTATCGTGTTCACGGGCACATATATATATATATATGTATATACATTAAATATTTAAGTAAATAAGTACAACTGAGCACCCTGAATATTATATTTTATAAAAAGAAGTGACATGTTTCGGACATTAGTATTATTATATATTATATATAAATTATATTTATTTACAAACAAGCAATATAAACAACAGTTAAGTGTTTAATGTATTTTGAAGTTTGAAAATGGACTAATGTCCGAAACATGTCACTTCTTTTTATAAAATATAATATTCAGGGTGCTCAGTTGTACTTATTTACTTAAATATTTAATATATCAGCAGCCCTATTACGTGAACACATAAATTAAAATGTATATACATATATTCTTGAGATCTTGATAGAGTTTATGATGAATGAAACATGACACATTGTAAATTTTCGTTTAATACAAACGTTTTCAAGCAAAGAGAATGAAAAATGTAAAGATGAACAAAACAAATAAATATGAACTGTTTACAAATAGTTGAATTTTGAGAACATATGATAGAGTACAGATCAAAGAAAATAATAAAATTAAAAATTCAGCTGAGTTGAATCACTTTTTTACTATGTTAAATTTAAACCAGAGGGGAACTTTGTTTTCAGTACCAACTGGTGAGCCAATTCAGAATTTCTTAAAACCAGTAGGTTGCATTTAGGGTTTTGATGTGGGTTTACTTTGTGAAGGGCTTTAAGGGTATAGCAGCCTTCAAAATTTTGGTTGTGGTGAGCGGCATGATTATAGATTGGTTTTCTTTTGTCTTCATGTACCACATCAAAACGATGGCCTGTCATTCGAACTCTTAAAGAGTTTGAAGTCTGGCCAATGTAATCTTTTGGACAATGTTTACACGATAGTTGATAAATCACATTGTGAGATTCACAAGTTGATCTACCTTAAAGCCCTTCACAAAGTAAACCCACATCAAAACCCTAAATGCAACCAACTGGTTTTAAGAAATTCTGAATTGGCTCACCAGTTGGTACTGAAAACAAAGTTCCCCTCTGGTTTAAATTTAAGATAGTATAAAAGTGATTCAACTCAGCTGAATTTTTAATTTTATTATTTTCTTTGATCTGTACTCAATCATTTGTTCTCAAAATTCAACTATTTGTAAACAGTTCATATTTATTTGTTTTGTTCATCTTTACGTTTTTCATTCTCTTTGCTTGAAAACGTTTGTGAGTGAAAATTTAAAAACGTACGTTTTCAGGAAAAGCACTTTGCAAATTCTTTTCCCCTTTTTTCAAAACTTTTATTATTATTTTTATTTCATTAAAATTTGAAGTTTCATAAAATGTCCATGGTAACGCAATATCTTTGGTAGTTTCTTTTTAAAAGAGCATCTTTAGTGGAAAAACACAAAATCCTGTCACGACCATAACGGACGTTTAAATGAATATTAAAAATAGTTAATATTATTTTTATAACTATGTTTTGCTATAAACTTATTTACTTTTATGACCATTATACAATAAATAGGTCACTGAGCTTTTGGTATATTTGGTCTTTCTAGAAAAAAAAAAAACTCAAAAAATTGAAAAAAGCCAATAAAATCTTTTTAAGTTTGTATAACTCCGAAAAAACTTACCTGAGACCCGAAAAATCGTTATGTTTGTATAGAGGTGTGCTTCTTTTGTGTATAAAACATTGAAATATGACGATATTTTAATTTTTGAAATTTTTATGATAGAAATCATAAACGTGATGGTCAGGGACAAGCGGTACGGTCGTGAATTGTCTGGAATAATCTAAATCGTTCTAAACAATCCTTCAATTATCCTGTTAGTTATAATAAAAATATGTGTTTCAATTGAACTTAACTGTTCAATTTACAATTATATTAAAGTTATTGTCACGACCAAACACACTATAATCCATAAGGCTGGATTGGTCGTGAAAAAACCCGCGATGGTCGTGAAACTTTGGTCGTGAAATTATGTGTTATTTGGCTCTGTTCTGGCGGTAGCCCTGCACCTCATGTTCGAGGATACAAAGTGGACTTCTAGGTTAATCTAGCAATTGAAATATCTTATAAACAAAAATTAACACCATGTCTACTTCATCGAATGACTACGTACGGTCATGGACACACCAAAATTACAAAAAACACAATCTTTCCTATATTAATCTTGTAATTCCTCCTTTCAACTCAAAACGACCAGCACTACAATCCTGACGTAAACCCCGAACTAGTCTCTAAAACCAACTGACTCCATCGACGCCAGGCTTGCCACTGTCGTGCTCCAAAGTTGAAAATTTTCCCCAAATGGTCGTGACGCCAAATCGAGGGACAGACTTATTTTGTCATGGTAGTCAGTTTGTAATGACAATAAAATTATAATATGCTCCTTTTTTGTAAGTTTAATAACCATTGATGACATAAAAATATGGCTTTATATATTTCGGCATGAATAATTAGTCTAAAAACAGTGTGAAAGTTGGAAAATGCACCCTAGGGACACATCATGGTCGTGAATTTCGAGACTTTAAAAATACGAAAAAAATACCTAGAACCTATTTAAAACCAAATAAATGTGTGTAACATGTTGCCCCCGTCCCAAAAAATATTAAAACACATAATAATAAACTACAAATCCAGTATCTACGAAGTAAAAGGCCAGGGACATGAAAACGTACGTTTTTAAATTTTCACTCTTGTATTAAACGAAAATTTGCAATGTGTCATGTTTCATTCAACTCTATCAAGATCTCCTCAAGAATATATATACATATATATATATAAACTCAATTACGGTACCACTTTCCTTCAGATCACTTCGCAGGAAAACTAAAACATTTTAAAAATACAAAATTTACATTAAAACATACAAATAATGTTCAAATACATTTTTAAATAATACATTGTGGTATAAAAGTTAACAAATACACTTTTCCTTGATCAAAACCGTCTGTTTATAAACAGAAACCCCTAGATTGATTAATAATTACTACTGAAAGTGAGGTTATAAAAATAATAACAAATATCTGACAAACAGCTGACGAATAATTTATAAACTGTGTATTATCACGGCCTCCTTTAACTACAGGCCGCGGCGTTCGAAGTGGCAACACCGCATCGGATGGCTGGATGGCTAAGCTACGCTTCACCACTACACCAGTGAACGCTCGCGCTCGCGCCGCGGAGGATTGGAACAAGCACGCGAATTATCTATTAATTTAGATGTTTTATATCTGATAAAACTGATGTGTAGGAAAAGGAGTAAATAATTATGTGAGGCTTTCGTGTCAATGCAAGAATGTAATACAATATTTATTAAAACCTTTTACGGTACATTGAACATGATTGAACGTATAAGTAGGCGCATGATTGTAGTTTTCTTCCGTCTCTTCTACGTATTTACTCTATATGATTTATTAATTGTTAAACACTTAAAATGTAAATACTATCTGCAATGTTATTTAGTTACAGCTTCTGTGTAAGCTATTGTTTTATCATTGGAATGATGACGTTTACTATACAAAGTAAAAATTAACAAAAGCAATAAATAAAGTTATTTTATTCAAGAAAGGATTGACATTTTTCAATGGTTACATTGGCTATTATTTTGGTCTTTTTTACTTTCGTGTAGATATTTAAAAAATATTGCTCATTCTCAAAATAATTTTTGATACTACAGTATTTCCTTCAAAT